AAAAAAAAAAAAAAAAAAAAAAAAAAAGGAAACTCCGACAGCTAGATGACATCAGAAAACACTGGTGTAAGAACTTCTATATTTTACCAAGAAGTAAACTGAGACACAGAGAAAATCCACTGGTCTATTCCAGGCAATGATGGTCTGGGAGGCCTTGAACACAGGAAGAGGCTTAGTTATGTGGCTGGACAATTCTCTTTCAGTTCAGTTTTGTTTCCCAGTACAACAAATCTCTAAGATGAGCTAAGCCACCTGGTATAGGCTTACAACTCTGGCCCTGCTGAGAGCATGGTGCCGGTTCAGACCAGGTTTAAAACAAGAGAGCCCCATATCCGAGTTTTCCACTGCAGGTTTTATCCTCCTCCTCTTCCTCCTCCTCCTCCTCCTCCTCCTCCTCCTCCTCCTCCTCCTCCTCCTCCTCCTCCTCCTCCTCTTCCTCCTCCTCCTCCTAGTCCTTCTCCCTCCTCNCTCCTCCTCCTCCTCTTCTTCCTCCTCCTCCTCCTAGTCCTTCTCCCTCCTCATCCTCCTCCTTCTCCCCACTCCTCTTCTTCTTCTTCTCTTTCTTTTTCTTGACAGTCTCATGCTGCAGCCCAGGCTGGCCACAGCTTGCAGCAGCCCTCAGGCCTTCTGCCTTAGTGTCCTGAGCGCTGGGATGACAGGCGTTAGCTGCCATGCCTTGCTCAGGCAACTCTGAAATGCAGTGTCTTCTGGGCAGCAATCTTTCCTCACAGAATGAAATGTTCTGTTTAGTTGGGGCTCTGGGCTTCTTGTTTGTTAAAGAATGGGGCATCTGGATGGAAACATACTGTCATATTCTAGAACAACCCAAGTACAGAGCTATAGACAAGTGAGCTGACTCAAGGAAGGACAGGAGTCAACTTTCCAGAAAAATGATTTCTGCCGTGCCAAAATTTCCTAGCTCTTCATAAGTCAAATAGTAATTCCTGGTTCTTAAATTTTGAGGAAATCATCAACAAACATTTCCCCTGGGTTATAAAATCACTCTCACACAGCCATTCAAATACAACCAGTGTTAAATATACACAGAAGAAACTGCTTTGAATGTTAAAAACAGACAAAATGCCAAGGGCGGCAAAATGCTCCTTTTCTCGTTTTATTTTCTAATAAAAGACTCCATTGATAACATATGTTGTCTGTTAGCAAAAATACACACGCATGGAGTATAGTCCAGAAAGGGCCGACTCCGGCTCTAGAAGTCAGTCTGTAAAGATGTAGACGGTTTTCTTCTGCCGGAAGGGTTACTTTTACCAAAGGTGGATACCAGACCTTGATTTCCTTCTTTTGAAGTACAAGCTCCCTCAGCAAAGGGACTGCACTCACCACCGAGTGTCTCTTAATTGATTATACTTTTAAACTAATGGTATGTCTCCAGCTTCTCTGCTTTCCTCATCTGCCATGCATCTTGGTACCATTCCCCAAGTGTTCCCTTGGCAACCCCTTGTAGGCAGTGCCAGCAGTTACTGGGCAGCAGGAGTCTAGTTCCCCTGAAGTCAGGGTGTAGCAGCTAGCGTCCCTAAAACCCAAAAAGCAGTCCCTAAATCCACCAAGTCTGCATGTTTCTCCTTTAGAATTCATCTGAGTTGGTGACATTATTAGTTTTCTGAATTTTTTGTTTTTACATTTTCATTTACACAGGAGGGGCAGTAGGCATGCACGTGCCAGTGTGCTAGTGGAGGTCAGAGGACATCTTGTAGGAGTCCACTCTCTCCACTCACCATGTGAGGCCCAGAGATAGAACTGAGGACACTAGGTTTGGTGGCAGGTGCCTCTATCTGCAGAACCACGTCATCTGCCTTTCTATGCAGATATTCTATGGGAAGATAGTTCTTTCAGTTGTGACACCCATTCAAAAGAAATTAGTATTCCCATGTTGCTAATGTAACAGCGGGAAGATTTATTTCTATTCTGGCTAATTAGTAAGAAGCCCAAATCAGCATAATACATATTTTTAAATTTCTAGTGCTGACGGGCACAGTGTTCCAAAGCAGGACTAACAGGAAGGAAGGCACAGGAAGACCCCAGGGTCCCCTCTAGCTTTCTTTTGATTTCCATGCTCAAGGACAAAGTTATAGCATTTTTGAGCCTCCATCCCCTAATCAATAAAGTGGGGATAGATTTGTCCTCACTATCTCAGAGTATTAGTGCAAAGGGCAAAGAAGGCACTACACAAAACTGATTTCTTAAATGACTGTTCTTAGCATTTATGGTGGTTTTAAATGTCCCCCATATTCTCAGACATTTAAATACTTGGTCCTTAGTTGGAGTCACTGCTTGGAGAGGCTTAGGAGGTGTAGCCTTCCTGGAGGAAGTACATCACTGCAAGGCCAATTCTGAGGTTTCAAAAGTCACATGGCATTCCCAGTTCCACTCTTTCTGTTTCCTGCTTATGGTTTAAGATGTGAGCCCTCAGCTCTCAGCTTCCAGCTCCAGCCACCATGCCTGCTTGTCACATTGCTTCCCTTCATGGTCATAATGGATTCTTAGCCCTCTAGAAGGGTAAGCCCCAAATAAACCCTTCCTTCTATAGAAGTTGCCCTAGATGGCTAGATGTGGCTGTATACACCTTCAATCCCTGTACTAAGGAGACAGAGGCAGGTAGTTGTCTGGGAGGTTGACACAAGCCTGGTCTACATAGCTACTTCCAGGCTATCCAAGGCTACATAATGAGACCGTGCCTCAAAAATACATACATACACACACACACATATACATATATACACACATACATAAATGAATATTGCCTTGGTCATGGTGCTACACACACAAATATACGTGTGTGTTTGTGTGTGTGTGTGTGTGTGTGTAAATATCAAGGAAAGCAGCTGTTGAAAATCCAGACTCTCGTGAGGAAGTTTCGTCATATCTTATCTGCAGAAGTTGGCGTCCATCGGCAAGGACTGTCTTGTCCCAGAGTTGGTGAGCCTTATATATACAGCAGGAACCTTTGGGGAAGGCAGTAAGATTCGACGTAATCAAATCTATTAATTTAAGCATTCAAGGTGGCACACAAATGTTCCATTATCTCCAGTGTTTGAGGCCAGCTCTAAGAAGAGAGAATCGTGGGAGGGGCCAAGAAGAAAGACAAATTTGTTCTGAGGTAGAAGTTTCTCTTTTCCATTTGTGAACTGTTGTGGCAAACAGTTTTCATACTGACGTGGTGGGGCTGCTCTGTGATGTCATCAACTGACATTGTTTCCTTTCCTTAATAATTCAGTTCTAAGTTTCAGCAACTCCCTAAGTTGTATGCTTAACTTCTCTTTCAAATTCTTTCCCACTTGACAATTTGGGGTTGTTTTGTTTTGCTTGTTCATTTTAGATTACATGTTCCTTGAGCCAGAGTCCCCTTTATTTTAGCACCCCATCCCTGTAGGCACCACATAGGACATGACATGACGCTACAGAGCTACTCGGTAGTCAGAAAAGCTCAAGGCTGCCTTTAGGAACCCCAGTGCTGTGTACGGTGAATCTATGCTAATAAAAAGAAATTAAAAAAAAATTGAAAGCCTAGATGACTAATTTTGGAGGGGAACTGGAAACGTGTGATGTAAGCTAGCAGACTGCAGCAGTGGTGGACCGACCAGCCCCTGGGGGGTGTCTGTGTTATGGAGAGAGACACTTGGTTCCCACTGTGTCTCTTGCAGGCTGAATGCCACCGGAGCAGACTGCCAGGCTTACTCGTTCCTTAATCCACTGACAGGAATCAATCCCACACTGACATATACGAGAGATCCTCGGGATCTACGTAGTACTACTCCCCCCCTCCCCCCCCCCACACAAGTGCTACAGTTAGACTCAAACAAATGGAGTAAGGAATAGGTCTAAAGTGACTCATATTTCTAAGGAGTCAAAAGGAAAAGCCATTCAAGCTCTTGCTTCCAGTAAAGTCAAACAGATGGGTTTCATCTACTCCACTGAATTAATTTTGAATTGGGATCTGAAAAGCAATACTGGATTAAAAAGCCTCTCAACACATGGATTTCTTCTTTGATCTTTCTGGAAAGCATGAGCCATTCACCTGACGATACCGCAGTTACAGCTGAAGAAATCCCGAACAGGCTTCCTGTTCGACAGTGCTGTTGATGCTGGTCCACTGAGTCAGCCTTCGGTGTAATTGTTCTCTTGGCCAATTTCAGCCAAAGACTATGTGCTGTTTTTCCTCCTTTTATTAATTGGTAAAAACACGACGTAGCAGATTGTCACAGCTCAAAGCACAATATTCCCCACACAGAAGACGTGTGAGCATCTGTGAGACGCTCTGGGCCAACTTCAGCCTTACCCAACTGTCCGCAGTTGCCCACCAGTGGGCTCCCTGGGCTTTTCTGTGGCACTCTCTGCTCATCCCTCTACCACTCCCATTTTTGCTACCTACTTCTCTCCAGGACTTCTACGCTTCGGACTTCTGCAGGACTGCCTCTGTCTCCAGTTGTATTTGAGCTGCTACTGGGTCCCCTCCCCCAGCTTCTCTGCCATCATCAGACACCGTGAAAATTTGGCATTGGAATTTTAATTGTATCTTTAATTTGAAAGATGCTTCAATAGTGTAGATTCAGTGAATGGAACAGATAATTCTGCTTGACTCCAGACAGCTCTGTGCTGTAACTCAATGAGCATCATCTTCCACGGCCTTGGGGTTACAGACATCAGTCTGCTCTCCTGAAGCCCGTCTTTCAGCCATCCCTCTTTCCCTTTGCCCAAACCTTTGTGTTCCTTTCTTCATTGTCATCGGTGCTTTCAACCTTCAGCAACATTGTTCATAGGAATGTCACCTGGAAACAGAACAACCTAACACAAGGGTAGGCAGATCCTGCGGGGCTGGATCTGCTCAGATCAAAGACGGTGATGGAATTTGAGGAGGGGGCACTGCTCAGGACAGCTTTCGGTGAAGGCACCCCGGGTTAGAACCAATGATCTATGCAGAGCTGAAGGAACTGTGTGAATGCAACAAGAACAGCAGACTGCTCGTGTTAGCTGCCTTCGTTCAGACTCAGGGGTCAGAGTTATGACCCAGAACACCACAGAACAGGACTAGACCATAACTGTTAAGTTAGAGTCCAGGTTCAGCTGTTTTGTTGCGATGTATTTTTAGGACATGAATTCCCTAGTCTTCAGAGAGAGGGGAGGGGGCTGGTGTCCACATTGGAAGACATTAGGACTCCTGCTCTATCCCTCTCCACTGCATTCATTTGAGACAATGCCTTTCAGAAACCGGAAGCCAGCAAGCCCTAGTGATGTTCTTGTCTCTACACAGCACTGAGGGAGAGGCAACGCTATGCTTCATGTGAGTGCTGGGTATTTGAACTCAGCGATTTATGTTTGTACATACAACAAGCCCTCTTACCCCCTGCGCTAGTCCCCCATCCCCTCAGCTTCTTTACACTGTGTCTAGTCTTAGGAACCAGTGATTATTTTCATATGACGGCACAGAAGGCTTTTCTTTTCACAAATTATAAACACCAAAAAGTACTTGTATGAAATTTTAGACACTTGGGCTTAAGTTTTATATACACACAAGTTGTGCTTGCCTTTTCTTAAAATTAAAGTCTAAAATCTATTTAAAAGCATTTAAACATTTTTAAAATGAATTATTCAGTGTGAAGTGATAACCTGGATACATTGCCCGGGTTTCTCAATGTGTTCTATGTAAGCCTGCTTCTGATGAATCTTCAGCTTGTCTGGGTGGTTGTTTCTACACAGAACACACTCCACACTGTGAACAATCATGTTTCATCATTGAGTCAATACAGATTTTTTTTTTAGCACTTTTCTAGAAAACCTAGGAACTCTAGATATTTTCCACAAAACTGAAGCATAAACTTGTCTGAGGGCTTGGCCATATTGATGATAGCTTATAGGGGGGTACATGGAAAACATACCTATAAAAACCACAAAGTTGTATTTCTGAAAATAGCACCCAAATAAATACATCGTCTTTCAGTTGTCACTCAGGAAGGCTATGGCAAAGCGAAGATTGCATTTCTCTCTTAAGGAAATTTATTTATTTGCTGAAGGCTGTTTCCAGCATTTCATGCTTGCAAAGAGCTTTGTTATTTAGACATTCAAATCACACACCCGGGCAATTCCCAGACATTAGCCAGCATGATCATTGAGCCATCGTATTTATCAGAAATTGACATTTTCAACCAATTTCTGAAAACCAGTTCGGTATGAACTCACTAGTAAGCGAGAAAATAAAGACAAACATACATTACACCCAACAAATGGATTAATTTCCTTTCGTTTGTCCCTGGGGGCCTCATGCAATACTTCGTATTTTCATAGCTGTTTCAGTGAACACGCTCCTGGAACACTGAATTCAGTTTAACCACTGGACTTCTGTAACCGTTGGAAACAGATCCACAAATCAATTCATCACGCTTTTTCAGTTAAAGAAAAAAATCAAAACACGAAAACATCTATATGTCTCACCTCCCATCAAACCTGTGCTTCAGGAAATCAAAGAGGGCTTTCTGCATCATGTCTGTTACCTTCGCAGAGGTGAGGAAAAAAAAAAAGAATGAGGCAAATGCGTGGAGAGAGAGAAAGGGAGAGAGAGAGAAGTCAACGGTGAGAGAGGTGGAAGGGAAGGGCACAGGGACTGAGGAGAAACCCCATCACATCCAGGCATCTTTAGGGGCCAGCTACAGATGTTCTCCAGGGCTGATTTTTCAAGATAATCAAACATAGTTGCTAATGTCTCCCTTGGTTCTTCTCCAGGGTGCTGAAGAACAAATTTATAGTTTTTACCGGGACCCCAGGCAAACAAACCCTCTTCCTACGTCCCTTAGGATGTCCATCTGCCCAAGGAGACCAGAAACTGGCTATGCACAAGAGGGCTGGGCATCTTCACATGGCGGGACTATGCTTGTCTCTAGTGATGGGTATCGGGTGGTCCTAGTGTCCGCTCTGGGCTCAGCTACCCCAGCCTGAGCATCTTGGGAATTCTCCCTATTTGAGGCTTAAGTTTTTTTGTATATAATCTTCCTGCTCATCACCGGACGTTTCCATCTTGGAGCGAGAAAGAGAGATGAGAATTTTAGAACTGCCCCAGGAACATTTTTAGCTCATTTAACAGGTGTTTACTAAATGCCTCCTTCCTCCAGACATCATCCTAGCAGGGGGGTCAGTTGGCCTGAAGGTTGCCCCGCTTCAGATTTAGAGATCACACCCCACCTGTTTTTTTTCCATTCAAACCCAAAGTCAGAATAGCAAAATCTGAGATGTCATGCAACACAGCCTTCACTCCTCTTTATTACATGGCAATGTCTAATTGCTCTCCAGAGTTTAATCTAGTTTCTACTGGTCCCCCCCCCCCACCTGCCTTCACCTTCTGTGCTCTGCCTTCAACCACTTCCTATCTGTAAACAGACCTGGGAGGGGTCAGATTCCGAAGGAGGGTCCCCAGGGTTCTTGGTCAAGAAAAGGAGAGTAACGGATAACTTGTACCTCATAACCTTTCAGGGATGGCCCCACTAACACCACTGGGCGCATTGATGGCACAACATCGTAGGGAGGGATGTGCTCCGTCTGAAAAAGACTCGTCAACACGAGTGAGAAGGTGAGACCGGGCCTCTCTCCTCGACAGCCACAACATCCAGAATTCTCAGGCTGAACAGTAAGTGATGCCTAAGGGTCCCCACCGAGGAGGCCCATCCCTCAAGAGGTATGTGGGCCACGGACATGGAGCATCGCAGGCATGTACGGAATAGGAACCTTAGCAGGAGTTTAGAAAAGGAAACACAACTTACCACTTTCTGCTTCTGTTTTGCTAAAAGACAACAATGAGAACCACATCAAAATATGCAATCTCTGCAAATGATAGCACATGAGCTTAAAAGCTGGGAGAAGGTACCCTGTAACTGTCCTCCGCGCTTGCCTGGCACCCACTCAGCAGATCACTGCCCTGCCACTTCATCATGGACATTGCTACTTGTGAGAACATGGGATATGGACCGCTTCTTCCCTGCACCAATGACCTGGCATTGCAATTTCCTGTGAAAGGCTGGCACAGGCAATCAAACAATACTTGAGATTGTTAGCTAACCATTAACTATGGGTGTGCCCATATTGGATGTGGCACACATGAAGTGGAGGGCAAGTTGGCCAAAGGAAATGTAATAAAAAAAGAAACAATACAATGTGAGCAAAATTACCACCACCTCAGCTATTGTTAACATTGTTGTTGTTGCTATTGTTCTGTATCTGTGCATTTGGTGAACCACGGAGGCACTATGGCAGATCTTCAGGTATTTCTCCAGCTGGAAGAGTGAAAAGCTGTTGTAACACCCCAGTGTCCAGCAAACATACAGAGGGCAGAACCTAGTCCACAGCCCATGAAGGTGGCTTTGCTGTCATCCAAGCATTAGGTCCTGTCTACATGGGGTCACCTAGAGGGACAGGTTGGTTCTCAGCCCTGGAGGTCAGCATGAATCCTCACAGACAAGGACCAAGTCCCCAGAACTGTCCCAGCATCAACCCAGCATTGACATGAACGGCAGAGCCTTGACCTGCCGTCTGAGCTGGCGATATCGGAGGCTCTCATACAGCCTCAGTTCCTGGCCAGAGTGAAATTAGCTCTCAAGAGTCAGAAAATGCGATGGGAGGAACTTTCTAGGAGAACGCCTTCATTATATCCAAAGACACACGGAGGCTTTATTGAGATACCCTGTCTCTTCATTGCATCCATTCTGGGACTCAACTGGAACTGCCTAATGCCCAATAATAGAGACAAGGTAATCTTGGCTGCAGGGGGGCTCTATGCCCTCCCCCCAGTATGTACGACCTGGTCCCAACATGGGCTAAAATTTCATGTACATACAGAACATTGTTGTAACAATGCATGAGCTTTTATATCTATGGGCCTCACAATCTTGAAGTACCTTGAGTTCTTGAGTAGAATAATGGACTTGAGGTTGGTTTATACATGAAGAAGTAGTGGGTATAGGGGGTGAATGAGATTTTTCAAAATTATACTGATGACTTGAATTTTTGTATCATTAGTACACTTCAAGTCAAACTAGAATCCAAATGAGCAAGGAAATCTTAAATAAAAGAAGCCTTACATTTTCAATCAAGTCTTTATTCCCAAACCAGTAAGAATGTTGGCTTATGTGCTCCAATGCTTGGTATAGCAAGACCGCTCACCTGTTGTTGTGGGGGTCGCTCGAAACGTCCCTGACACCATTTCTCCGAGACTGGAGGAAGAGTTTCCACTCGATTTCCTAGAACATGGAAACAAATTTAAGACTCTTGCCCTAGATCCTCTGAAAACAGAAACTGGGAATCCAAGGTGTTCTTTGGCCTACTAAATAATTCAAAGCATCCTAAGATCTGATAGAAGAGCTTCAAGAATCTGCTCTAATGCTTTCTCTAACCTCAAAGGAAGCAGAGATCTCATCGAGACCTGGAAACACTTTGCAAATTCTCTTTTCCGGTTATTCATACAAAAATTGAGCAGAAGGACCCCTGGTGAGGATGCTCTTTGGAGATATGTGTTTACCTAAGACCAAGTGTTGAAGTACCAGTCAGAGGCTAGACAGTTTAGAACAAGCAAGAGGACCCCAAGAACATCTCTTTAAAAGTTTAACTGGGGGTGGGTTGGGGGCAGTGGTCCACCAACTGTTCCTAGTGCCAACAGTAAGAGCTATCAGTCATGATTCACATATGTTCATAGGCCAGTGATGAACAGTCCAGTCACTTGTTGGCTGTGGAACACATCGCGATACATCTTGAGTGTTGGTTTTCCCTGTCTACAGACATAGACGTTATCGATACCTTATAGACAGAAGCATGACGAAAGAACTTCTGGGAATGAACCATTGGTTTTATTGTTTCACGTACCTCGAAGCAAACTTTGTGTGTGTGTGTGTGTATTTATATATGTATGTATGTATATATGCATGTATCAATAACAGCAACAGTGGTGGGAGATTGTTAGTGAGCCACATTCCAGCAGGAGATAATCAAGGCTAAACTAGAGAAAGAGGTAAATATATCTAATTTCCTAGAGTAGTAAGTGTAATAGAAGCAGTTAATTTGGAAAGAGATGGAAAATGAGAGGAAGGGGTGAGCCTGGAGTGGGTACCACGTAAAATGATGCAGGGAAGGAAGGGCTCACTGTGCAGCAAGAACCTGAAAGAGCTGGAGCGATCTGGTAACAGCCAAGGAGGAAGAGGGGTCCCCATAGGAGGAGGCAGCTGCAAAGGCCCCAGGGAAGAGCCAGCTGTGCTAAGAAGCATGGAGGACGAATTGTCTAGCGCAAAGGACACCAGAGGGTTAATAATAAAACATCTAAACAGAAGATTAATTATTAGAAGGGAGGTGAACTGTGCTTCTGAGAGTTTCCATGACTACTGAAAGCTTTTCATTAGGATAGCAGGAAAGGAAGACTTAAATAACACACCGTTTTCTTAAATACAAAAATTAATTGAAAAACAAGATTGAATCGGAAGAACTGCTTCAGCCAGACACGATGGTCACAGTTGTGATCCACACTAGGGTGTGGGGCTAGTGCAGAGCTGCCTCACCAAAGATGCCTGGACTACACAGCAGGATTGTCTCAAAGCAATGGTAACAATAGCAGAACTTGCTCTATTGGAAGACTTTTGAAAACTTTGAATGTACATGAAACCAGTGCTTCAGAGAGCGCCAGTGAGACCCAGTGCAGCCAGGACTTCTCTTAAGCTCTGCTCACCCTCCTGGAACCTGCCCCCTTGCATTCTGAAGCCTGTGTGCTGTTTCCTTTGACCACAGAGGCTGGTGCTTAGCAAATCCCCAGCACGGTGTCAACAGAAGAAGATGGTGCAGGAAGCCAGGCAGAGAAAAGTGTCCCCAGGACTGTCCACACACCTTCACCTTCTGGGCCCCCTGGACAGAGGTTTTGACAGGGAACCAAACAAAACCACAGCTCTCGGTCATGTCAGTTGCTACCTGAGCTGTCCTGAGAAGTGAGGCCCCGGGTAACCCTCCCAGAGGAAAACTGGGGTTCGGAAATGGGATTGCTGAGCCCACAGGAAGCAGCTTTGACTGTCGAGTTTATGTGGATTTCTGAGTTGCTGGGGTTCAGAACACAGTGGAAATAGTTAAACCCCAAAGGTTTGTGTCCTCCTCAAGGAGAGCCTGTGTGCAGAAGGTTTTCATTGGGCTGAAGACAAAGAGTCTCGAAGAACACGTTTCTGAGATAGCAGAAAAGCCAGTGCAAAACAGAGGGTGAGAGAAAAGAACAAACTGCTTCATCCAGTTTTTAATGAGAAACTTGAAAATATTACCCAATTTCCCCACACACCAAAAAAAAATAAGAAGCAAGGAAGGAGAAAGGGAGAGAAGAGAGACGGAGGGAGAGAGAGAGTGAGGGAGGGAAGGAAGGAGGGAATGAACGAGGGTGGGAGGGAGGAAGGGAGAAAAAAGGGAGGAGGGAGGGAGGAAAAGAGGGAGAGAGAGAGGGAAAGAAGGAGGGAAAGAGAGGGGAGGGAGGGATAGAGAGAGGGAGGGAAGGAAAGAGGGAATGAAATAGGGTGAGAGGGAGGGAGGGAGAAAAAGAAGGGAGGAGGGAGGGAGAAAAAGAAGGGAGGAGGGAGGGAGGGAAGGCCAGCTCATGGAGAAGACAGATGTTACCCGCCATGAAATCGGCCCCTTTTCTGCTCTTGCTGAATGCGTATGTTCTCCAGCCGCAGCGGACTTGGGATGAAGCCAATCTCGCAGCCCTCTTTGACCAGCCTTCCTATCCACCAATCGTTGTTATATTTCTGGAATGCAGAGAGGAAAGCTGCTATCAATAGTAATTCAGTTATCCTCACATTTCAGCAGCTAATTCCAGGGAAGCCGAGGGCTCCCATGCTACTCGTCTGGGTCTGCAATGCCACATCGTACATACAGTGCAGAGACAACCAGCACCCTGCTTTTGCATTTTGTGGGCAGTGTTTTCAGCCCACAGACTAAAGGAGGATTCTTCAGGGGTTTTATTTGTAATGGCCCAGCTGGTACATACGGTCTCTGCCGTAACTCCCGGATTCTGCTGCCCTACTGTGAGAATAGTCGCAAACACTCAGAGCATGGCTGCGGCTCACTCAAGGTGTCAGCATGGTCTTACTCAGGGGACCAGCAAAACTAGGCTGGCAGTTAATGGTCTGCTGGGGCCTCAAGGAAATGTTCCTACTGTAATTTCTGAAAATAGATAGAAATCATGTTTTTTAAACCTCCCAGGAAAGGAGTACAAAGGCCCCTCCGTGATCTTTATCAGTGTTGATGAGAAACTCTTTTCTGTGTGTGTGTGCACACATGTGGTGTGTGTGTGTGTGTGGTGTATGTTTGTGTGGTATGTGTGTGTGGTGTATGTGTGTGTGGTGTATGTGTGTGGTGTATGTGTGTGTGGTGTATGTGTGTGTGTGTGCGCGTGTGGTGTGGTGTGGTGTATATGTGTATGTGGTGTGTGTGTATGGTGTGTGTGCGTGTTATACAACACATACCAACTCTAGGAGGCGTTCTTAGCTCAGAGGAAAGTGGAATTTACATAACTCTAACGCTGACACTATGACAAGGCAGAGTGAAAGGTGGGTTGAATCATCACAGCACGAAATTCTGAGCAACTTGAATAGTTCTAAGTACCAATCTCATATTCAAACGCAGGCGACATGGCAGGACTCAGCCCTTTCTGCACAGAGCTCCTGCAGAAAGAAGCCAGGCTTTGTGCCAATCAAGAGACGGAGCTGAAGGGAACACGAGAAGATGTGATAGAACGCCTCGAACAATCTGGGTTTTAGTTTCCTGTCTTTAACTCAGGATAACACACCTGAAACAACAAGCCTGTTTATTTAGTAATTAGGAAAAGGCAAGCGGGCCCTTTTGGACTCTGTCGGTGCGTACATTTTTCTGTGGCGGGGACAGCACAGACCATGAGTCAGGGTTTCCTGGGGTTTCAGTTATTTCCTGAGATTAAGTCAGCCCACTGGGACATTAATTTGTTAAGTGGGACCCCAGTGACCTGAAGGGCTGCCTAAGATGCTAATGCGACTTCCCAAAAGGGTTTACTGTGGTTCTCAGAAACAGATAAAGAACACTGAGCTTCTGACTCCATGCAAGTGACAGTTCTCTGGCCACCGGGGAGCCAGGCGCTGTGCAAAGTCACCAGCTTCAGCCCTCCCTGTTTGGCTTCGGAACAGGCACAACCGTGGCTTTTTTTGACCTTTAACCCTTTATATTACTGAAAAGACAGAACATGCGCTGCTTCCTGAGAGACGGCAAGAGAGGAAGGATTTGGCCTGCTACAGAAGCGTGCCCTTCCATGTGGCTGGCATCCCAGGGGTTGAGCCAGCTTTAGAAAGGCCTCCTTAGCACAGTTCCAATCTTGCCTGTTTTGCTTTCCCTGAAGTGATTAGCATATTCTCATTCCATGTTGTTTTTTATTTGACCTGCAAGATTTGAAAACAAGAGGCTCTGAGCCACACACAATGACCGGATCAGTAGCTACACTGTGGAAGAAATAGGAGCTGCCAGATGGAAGGAAAATCCCTTGCTCAACAGCTCACAGACCCAACAGTTATCAGCAAGACACATCAAAGAATTCTCAGAGCAGCTCGAAGGGGCCACACACAAAGGAAGGGCACGTTCCTGTATCAGGCTGAGTCCTTCCTCTCGTCCATTGCTGCAACACCTGGCCCCTTTTCTGCCATCTCTGTTTCAAAAGCTGAATCTAGAGGCTGACGCTATTTCCTGTAACTCCAAGAGACTTTGAGAGGCTGACCTCCATCCTTATTTCTGCCCCCTCACCTTCTCCACTATACACAGCAGAGTGAGGCCCCTTACATTAATTAGACCCCCCAATTCTCCTTTGCCCATCACGGCTCCCACTCCCCATACAAGGATGGTCCCATGTCTGATTTATCCCAAATTACTTTCCAGCCCGCTGGCAAGACCAGTCTTCTTGCTCTGGCTCAAGATGCTCCTTTTAAAATCCGGCCCTTTGGGTGGGAGATAAGAGCTCAGCTGTAGCGTTTGCCCAGTGTGCAGAAGGGCCTGAATTCCACCCCCAGCACGGCTGATAGAAAAGCGATGTTTCTTGAATCGCTGACCTAGACTGTGCTCTGTTTCACTACTGCCCTCTGGCCACTCTGCAGTGCTGCAGGATGTCCCTTCCCTGATGCCACTCTGTGCCCATTCCTCCATACCGATGCTGACCCTCCCTCTCTGTGAACTTCCAGGACACTGGTCCATTTTTTTTTAAATAGTAGAATTTATCATTCCATCCAGAAATCATCAATACTATCCACCCTGCCTCTCGACTCAGAGTCCCTCGCCCATAGCATCGCCGCCATCTCATCCTCCAGCGCAGAGCGCAATGCTGGGTACCAAACAGAACTCCGCTGTACCCAGGCTGACCACAAACTTAAGCTTCCGGCGTTATGATTTCATTGTCATACCTTTCTATATGTGTGGTCCCGAGCCCCCCTTACGCTGTTCACTGTTTCCTAGAGTTCTCTGTCCCTTTCTTAACTTCAACAATGTCAAGACCACAGTTCACAGTGTCTATCATGGTAATACCCCTCTGTAAAAAAGGCCCCCCTAGATACCGTTATGCTATGAAACTCACGCTTCCCTAGGTTACAACCATAGATCCACGGCTATCCAAGTAGTCCCTCAGGTGCACCTGCAGTGTAGCATATGAGAGAGAGAGAGAGAGAGAGAGAGAGAGAGAGAGAGAGAGAGAGAGAGAGAGAGGAGACAGACAGAGACAGAGGCAGAGAGACAGAGAGACAGAGAAAGAAAGATGCAAAACCTAAAATCCACTGCATCATTTCAAACGCTGAGTAAGCTCCCGTGTTGGAAGTGTGTGGCAATGCAGGCGATGATCTCAGCTTCTAAATCTCAGCGAGGTGATATGACGGAGAGGCCCAGGGCATCAGCTGAGGCCCCACACTGGCAAGCTCCTTGGGTCTCCTCTCCTGCGTGTTTGGCTCAGGCTGATGCCCAGCCGTAGCTCTTTGGCAGATGAAGGGGTGCAGTGTGTCCTACATTTACCTCTTTGATGTGAAGAAAGTCCTTGGCGTCAAAGGAGATGGCTGTGCTGGGAACGGGCACATCCTCATCCAGGGCGCCGCAGTAGCTCACGTTCGTTTTCACTGCAAACGCTACAGGTTTGGACTGGAGGCAGCAGTGCGGAAGGAGGAGGGAGGAGAGAGGAGGAGAGAGGAGCATCTGTCATATTGAGACATGTCGCAGGATGAGCGATGGTTCCAGGCAATGAGGGAATCACTTTCCAAAGAGGGATCTCCGCTGGGTTTTATAGTCGCGGGCCACATCCCGAAATCTGCAGCGATGACTCTGGGAATGACTCATCCCTCACAGCCCAGCCATTTCCCTTCTTCTGTAGCAATTTCCAACCTCCCCAATATAGAACTAGCTCCTACAGGACTAGGGACAGAGGGACAGGGGTGGGGGCTGTCTGCTTTGTTCTCCGCTCTTACCAACTATCTATTTAAATGGTAACGGAGACTGCCCCAACTGAGATACAGGACATGCACACTGGGGGACGGGGAATGCTAGGAAGTCAGCTCAGTGGATAAAGTGCTTGCTGCACAAGAACAAGGTACTGAATTCAGATCCCCAGCATCTGTGACAAAGCTGGGTGCAAGGGTGCGCATCTTTAATCTCAGAGCTAGAGAGGCAGGGACCAGAGGATCCCTGGGGTTAGCCAGCCAGTCTAGCCAGATGGTGAACTCCACGTTCAGTAAGAGCCCTGTCTCAAATATTAAGCTGGAGAGTGGTTAGGAAAACACATTAACCTCTGAGCTGCACATACATGCACATAAACATGCATGTGCACGCTCATAGGTACACACATACACACACGTACATACATGAACAGGTCTACACATGCTAGGAAATGTATGCTGGGTATTAAAAACTTGAGGAGGGGTAGAAAACAAGATTTTTTTTTAAAAGAGCCTCAGATCGGAAAACCATAGATCTTTTGTAGCTGAATCTCTTGTCTTGCCAGGCCCAAGGGGCCAGTGAGAGTTAAACCTAACAAGCAGGCTCTTCACCCACCATATCTCCTAGCTTCTAACAGTTGGTTTTAAAGCTTGTATATAAACTCCCGTTGGCAAAGTGTTCCTGCGCAGGCGCAGTCTGTGGGGGCTAAGCCAGTCACAAGCCTAGGCTATGGTCCTGCCACCACCGCTTACCGAGGTGATCCCACAGTAACGAAACCGGTGGTGAAGGGTTTTTTCAAAACGAGAACCGGCGACGTGTGAGATACACGGTCTCCGAGCTTCTGGGCAGCTGTGCAGTAACTTATCTATTTGCACTGGGAATGTCAGCAGTTGAGGTAGGACCCACATCAGACCGGCTTTAGCTCCCTCCCGGGCTCTACGAAGATGCCCTACTATCAGAGCTCACAGATGGCACAGACAGAGTGTAGAAGCCGCCAGCACAGACACAGAGAGCGTGGAAGCTGATGCCTCATTCGCCTATCTCATTCTTCTCTTGCTTCGATCTCTAAAAGATCTCATCATAAAATAAACAAAGAAGAAAATTAACTTTATTTGCGTTTGAGTCTAAAATTCAGAAAGGTGCCTGCCATAGCGTAGGAGCTGGCCGTGGGAGTAAGAGGACAGGCTAGCCATGAACACTGTCTTCTATGCTGTTATTGTGCATAAAATTAACTTGAAAAAGGGTCTGTCCTTTAAAAAAATGAGTTAGAAAGACATAGGTAGGACAGGAGAACTCTTCTAACTCATTTGGTCCTAAAACTCCTTCATGCAATTGGTTTCCTGGCGCACCCTGTGTGTCGGCTGAAAGAAGAGGATCTGAGGTTTGTGTCGCTCATCTTTGCTGATCTCATTTGATTTGTTCAAAGTTCGAAACCAGATCTGATGGTGCATGTCGGAAGGCCATGTATTAAGTCCACAAGTTCAAGACCAGAGTGGGCAATGTAGTGGACCCCTTCTCAAACAAGCAAGCAAACAAAGTAATGTTCTGAACTTCATACTGAGATGGGAATCTGAAATCTAGAATTCAAAGACTAGAGGAAGCCTTGAAATGATCCATAGCACAACGGTGCCTGTTCGGTGTATAACAAAGATAAGGGAGTGACGGGGAGGGGTCAAAGACAGAGAACTCCGGCTGGCAGCTCAGAAGGCTTGCTGCCAGTACTGGGTGAGGTGAGTTTGATATTGCCACACTGCCAAGTTGGGAAATGACCGAGAATTACCAGTAAGTCAAACAGAAAAAGGCAAAGGTTCAAGGTTCACAGGAAATGGCCTCCTGCAATTGCCACTAACCTCTGTGCGGGAACACACTCAGAGAACCTTGCAACCTGAACCCCTATCAGGATGGCTGGAAAAGAAGTTCTTCAGAGAGAATGCCACGCTGTTTAGTTTTATAACAACTTGACAGAAGCTAGAGTCACTTGAAAAGAGGGAATGTCATTTGTAAAAATGCTCCCACCAAATTAGCCTGTAGGCAAAGCCAGTGGAGCGTTTTCCTGACTAAATGATGGATGTAGAAGGGCTCTGCCCGCTGCGGAAAGTCTCACACCACAGGCAGGTGGTCCTGGTTGGTATCAGAAAGAAGGCTAAGCAGGCCACAGAGAGCAAGCCAGTAAGCAGAATTCCTCCACTGCTCCCATTTCAGTTCCTGCATCCAGGTTCCTGCCCTGCCTGAGGTCCTGCTGATTTCCCTCAGGGAGTTGTCAGCTGATGAGCCCTTTCCTCCCACGTGGCTATGGTCAGTATTTACCAGAAACCCTAAGGCAGATGTGAGGTAGGATGCTGAGCACAGGGGTTGGGCAATAAGCCAGTTTTCAACAAAAGAAAGGGGATTGGGGGTGGGGGGGGAGAGTCACCTTCGCTCTCTCAAGCTGGATAGCTGCTTGCTGTTCTCTCTCTTGCCGAATCGCTTCCCGGTCCTCTTCCAAAGAGACATCGGAATCCGACGGCCTGCTTGTATAGGAATCTGCTGAACCCTGGGGAAAGAGCACAGAAGGCTTACGTGAGGTAAAGTGTAGCTTCTTGCGTTAGCATGGTCTTAACGGAATCCTGGGTGAGTGAGTTCTTCCACGGGCACGGAGTTCAGCGCCCACACACAGTCTTACTGCAGATGTAGCCAGGCATCTGCCTTACGTGGAAGGTAACACGCCCTGGCATTTCGTTTGCATTTTAATACATGAAGCTTGCCTAAGGATCAAAGAGTGAAAGAGCCCACTGGCCAGCCTCACGGACCAAGCAGTGATGACACACTCCTTTAATCCCAGTAGCCATGCTAGTTGTCATAGAAACCAGGCGGTGCATGCCTTTAATCCCAGAGGTGCACACCTTTAATCCCAGCCCTAGAGAGGAATATAAGATGGGAGGAGACAGCTCTCAGACACAGTCTCATTCAGAGATTCCTGGAGGCAGGATCGCCATTTCGGACTGAGGTAGAGGTAAGAGTCAGTGGCTGGCTGTTTTACTTTTCTGACTTTCAGGTTGAACCCCACTTTCTGTCTCTGAGTTTTTATGAATCGTGCTCCAGTAGCAATGTTGTGAAGGGAGATACTGCGCCTAGATATGGACTAGGACGGAAACTGCAATGAGAACAACGTGGTATTCAGCCCTTATTCTCGTTTGGTGCCATCTGTATATCGGGCTGATAATTTATCATGGCTGAAATTCCCTCTCTTGCACATGCAGCTAAGTGCCAAGGGAAACTACATCTTACCTGTGTCTTGGCATCATCAAATTGTCTAGATTTTAACGCAGCCATGTTACCTAAGGAAAGCGATACTCTAGTTTCAGCGCCAAGACCACCATCAAAAAAATCAAATATTGTTCTACAGCAGCCCATCTGTGGCATTAATGTGCTCACTGAACAGAAAATACCTTGAGAATGAGAACATGGATATCCGCCACTGAAGTCCATACCCGGAGTGCTCGCTGGTCAGCAGTGCCACCCAGCCTGCCTGGTATCCCCAAAGGACTGGGCAACGCTCAAGCCTACTCAGTGTCCTTGCTAGAAAGGCAAATGAAAACTGGAGGATCTGATTTAAAAGTTATCCATCTCCCCATACAAAAAATATATATAGGGCTGGAGAGATGGCTCAGAGGTTAAGAGCACTGGCTGCTCTTCCAGAGGTCCTGAGTTCAATTCCCAGCAACCACATGGTGGCTCACAACCATCTGTAATGAGATCTGGTGCCCTCTTCTGGCCTGCAAGTATACATGCAAGCAGAACACTGTATATGCAATAAATAAAGATTTATAAAAAAAATATATATATATATAAATAAAACAAACTACCAACCCCAAACAACATCAAAATCCCCCACAACCCAACTCTGAAGGCTTGCTTTTAGCCAAAAGGATCATTGACCTCCCTATTCCCTTAAGATGGCATCAGAAGCTGGTATTTGCATGTATGACAACATTTGCATAGGAGAGGCACTGAGAGACTGGTTAGTTGCTTGGCATGTTTGATAAAATGCACTCCAGTCTTAAAAACCATAGATCTAGTCACTCGGTGGAAAATTTGTTAACTACTGCACACATACGAAAACAAAATAATAGACTAGTCAGGCTAGTGTCACAGGTGTGCAACCCAGCTAGATCACGTGGGATACTTGTATACTGTGTGAAGATGTACTGCTGTGATTGGTGTACTAAAAAGCTGAATGACCAATAGCTAGGCAGGAGGTATGGATGAGATTTCTGGGGAAAAAAAAAGGAAAAGGAGGGTGAATCTAGGCACACAGGAGTCAGGCTAGTGTCACAGGAGACATGGAATAGGAGGTGCAAGATGGAAGAGAGGTAATGCCACACGATTGAACATAGATTAATATAAATGGGTTAATTTGAGTTATAAGAGCTGGTGGGACAAGCCTAAGCTAAAGGCCAAGCTGTCATAAGTAATAATTAGTCCCTGTGTTGTGAGCTGGTGGCCGACACAAAAGCTTACTACAAATGGCACCCAACACATGGCATGTCATCTGGTCCACATAGGACCAGAAAAAGCTGAAAGAACAAAAGACCCGAGTAGGCTCAGTGCTTGTGGCATACACAGGCACAGCTCTTTCAAGAGCCCTAACTACCAAGCACTGGAATGGGGCTTATGAGCAGTGTGTTGCGCAATACTTGGTGATGGGAGACTAGGTAGTAGTGCCTATGAGAGACCGGCTCTGGGCAGGAACTTCAGGTGTGAGGCTCTGCTTGCACAGACCTGAAGAGGGCGGAGCCAGCCAGCAGGTCATGTGCTAAGCAGAACCACATGGCACAGGGCCTAGCCACTGCTTAGCAGTTTAAGGTTTGGCTTACATAGTCAGAGAAGATTGCAGACTAAAGTAATATAAAAAAAAACCTATAAGCCATGTAAGGATGGAAAATACTGTAACACAGGGAGTTTGGACTTTGTTAATTTTGAAATTTTTGAATGCTAATGAACAGAGAACAGCAGTTGCTGAGAGACATTGGATTGTGGAAGGCATTGCTGAATTAAACCAGCCTAGATACTTTAGGGATGTCTTGGCTTCAGAATGGAAGTCAGGAAATGTGTTGCGTTGGGGAAGAGGTTGTGCTTTTGTTTCCACAGGAAACAAAAAATTATGGATTCCTTCAAAGTTAATTGATATCCTGTTTGTCCAGGGGAAACCTCCTTAGAATCTTGGCCATAGATATGAGGAAAAAGCCAGGAAAGATTGCAGGACAGGTCATGCATATGCTGATCCCACAATATGGGAATAGCTCTGAGACTGGATAAGACATGATAAATCTTGTTGGCTACAGAATCCTCATGACTTATTACATGCCATCCTTTCATATGACATGAATGAAGATTTACATTACAGTTTATTTATATACTCAAAACAGACTTATAAAGTGGAAAAATGCTTTTATCTGCTCAAACATAAAGCAGAAAATCACCTTCAGCTGACTTGTGCACACCACACATTCCATACTTGTATTTATACAATATATATGTTACCTTTAAAACTTTGTGTGTTTTCGGGAAAAAAAATGAACCAGATATCAAGAAAGACAAGGAGCTCAGGTGATCCAGCCTCTCAGAATGCCTCAGTTGCAGTTTGCTCAAAATTCCACATCCAAAACAACTTCAAAATTGCTAGATGAGATGATCCAGCCTCACAGACTATTGAGCCAGGACTTCAGATGAGCTCTATACTTTCCCATCACACAGAGACTAAACAAAAAATAATATAGCTAGCTCTTCTAGGACTTGACCATTATCCCAGTTTTCTCAGGGTCCCCTAATGATGATGTCACCCTCAGACAACAGCAAGCAGTCTAGAGAACACAATGTCCACATTCCCAAAAGGTGGGGTGTGTGGATTTGTGTCATTCAGTGGGTTATGAATAAATTTTAACATTTAGGAGGGGTTGGTTATAAGATGTAACTGGTCATGGTCAGGGAAAAACCTTAACAAAGGAGGTTAGATTCAGGAATCTCTTTCTGAATAGAAAATAGAAGAGACAAAAGGATAATAGGATAGCTGAGCCATAGTGGTGCACACTTTTAATCATAACACTTGAAAGGCAGAGGCAGGAGGATCTCTATGAATTCTAGGCCAGCCTGGTCTACAAGAGCTAGTATCAGGACAGGCTCCAAAGCTACAGAGAAATTCTGTCTCGAAAAACCAAAAAAAAAAAAAAAAAAGGACAAAAGGGTAGATAGAATTTACTTTAAAACTAAAAAATAACTATTAATCTAAAATATGTTAAAGATTTTTCATTGGAGTTTTATATATTAATACAAATTTACGGTCATTTTTGTTATATTGTATATATGTTTCTACTTGTTTGAGGTATTGTACCTATTCAGTTCATTTAGCAATGGAATGCAAAGTTCTAGTCCTTGAAAGCTATTATTGCATACTATTTAGGATAATTAAGGTAACAATCAAACTTCTAGTAAGTGTTAGATGGAAACAGAAATAAGCTCTATTTAGCCTCATATATTTTAGAGAGGTGGTCTTCAAACACTTCAGAGATCTACAGAATGTGATATTTAAGATGTTTTAATAGCATAAAGTTTTCATGATAGTGAGACACATGTACAAAAGAACCTCCTTATGGAGTTTGCTTTCTGTTAGAGAATATTGTTTCAGATACATGACTTTAGGTTGTGTTGGATTTGTTTAACTCTGTGAAGCTGTGGTTCTTTGCCTGTCTAAAATATCTGATGTTCTAGTAAAGAGCTGAATGGCCAATAGCGAGGCAGGAGCAAGCATAGGTGGGGCTGGCAGGCAGAGAGTATAAATAGAAGGAGAAACGAGGAGAAGGAGCAATGAGAGAATAAGGGAAGGAAGACATCAGGAGCCAGTCACCCAGTCACCCAGCCACCCAGTCACCCAGCCACCCAGTCACCCAGCCTCCCAGTCACCCAGTCACCCAGCCACCCAGTCACCCAGCCTCCCAGTCACCCAGGAACCCAGCCACCTAGCCACCCAGCCAGCCAGCTAGCCATGGAGTAAGAGTAAAAGTAAGATATACAGAAGTAAGAAAAGAAAAAGGTCAGAGGTAAAAGGAAGTTGGGATAATTTAAGTTAAGTAAAGCTGGCAAGAAACAAGCAAAGCTAAGGCCAGGCATTCAAAATAATCCTCCATATGTGATTTATTTGGGAGCTGGGTGGCAGGCCCCCCAAAAGAATAAAAGAGTAAAAAGTAAGAGCAAAAACAGCTTTCTTTGTGGCAAAGTTAGCTGCTGGGCAAGAACCTGCCCTTTGCCTTGACTGCTGACAGTATCGTGTCCAAATGGGAAGAGTAGGACACAAAAGAAGTCAACTGCCAAGATAAGGTAGGCCAATCCTTCAAATTTCCTGCTTCACAGCAAAGTCTGCCAGATATTCTAGGCCTGTAGGCCAAAAATGGATGTCCCAACATTGCAGGGGACCCTTGGGTGACTCTCTAGGCAGTCAGCTGTCTCTGTCATTTTCATAGCTTGGGATGTTATTAACTCTGCACTTACTGTTTACTC